GGTCCAGACAGGTCTTGACAGTTGACAGCTGCGTAAGAAATTAGTCCTACATACAAGAGCGTTTTAATGACAAAAACTTGACAAACGTCTTGAATTACATCATCTGAACAATGTTTCGAGGTGTGGTAACTGTAGTATAAGCGGAATAATTGACTCCAGGTTGTTGAATTTGTGATCCTTGTTTGCAGGTAGCACGGTCCTCTAGGGTAAACAATAGGTACAGTCCTTGTAATTGCATATACTCCAGGCACTTTATTTGTAAATCCACACAGGATACAGCAGTAAATGAAAACATAAATGTAACACAAAACCCTATAAACAAAAACCTAGCTCGCCTGAGCACTAACTGACATTAGGTTCCCTATCTCTCAGGGTTAAACTAAACAAAACAATATTGGTTTCACCAACCTAGAGTCTTTGTCCACTCTCAGCACTCCAGTATTTAGCCTTGCCCTGACTGCTTTCCTTTCTGCACTCCCAGTGCTCCAAGCCAGCCTTGACTGCTTCCTTTCTGCACTCCCAGTGCCTAGTCTCCTTGACTCTGTATCTGGGGAGAACAGCCTCTCTCCTACCTGCTTCCTAGGAGGAATCCAGCAATCCCTCTCCTTTTCCTGCCTAGTCGGGAGGGGTTTATTCCCACTGCAATAGCTCATTAACTGCAGCTGAGCAGTGGGTTGGAGATGGTCCAAAAAACCCTGGCCTGGATCTATGTCTCCCCAGAAAACCACTAAACTGTGGAGTGGAGCATTGGCCCACCCTTCTCTCCAAATGCTCCACCCCAGGGGCCCATAACTAAACAAAGCTTTGGGTTGTGCAACACACAAACTACACGTACTTCCCCTGGGGTTAAAAGGCCTATCTGCCTTCACTTTATCACAAATTATTAGAATAAATAATGCACACCCGAGGTGGTAATGTGTTCACTCCGCTTCGCATCGTGACCGCATTACCACCTCGAGTGTGCATTATTTTTTCTAATAATTCAACGGCCTGTCCTCAATTATTCCTTACTTGTATTGTGTATTGTATGTAGGATTTTATGACATACCGTCATATACAATAGAGTCACACATCTCTTCTCATTCTTCACTAGAGAGGCCTACTTAAGCAAGGAAATGATTTCTCTGGAAAAGAGAGCAATGAACAAGTGAGTCCTGAAAAGAGAGGCTTCAGAATTTCTGATTAGAGAGAGAGAGGATATAACAGCTGTAGGCTTGTAAAATGCACAAATAGACTGGGATTAGATTTGGACGACAGTGGTTGATACTGGGTATGTGCAAGCTTAAAATGCATCCTGAAAATGTCTCTCCTGTGCACCTCCACTATATAAAAGATACTGGGGAGTTAGGAATGTTATAGTGTTTTCTCTCTATAGTATCCTTTAATTAGGCTCATCGTAATTATCAGTAACCAGTATATATCAACAATATACAGCTGGCGCTACCATAAGGTGAATAAGGCATTCGTCTGGAGTGCCGGCCTGCAAGGGGCGCCCACTGGGAAGTTTCCGTGTAAGAAGCTCATGCCTGGGGATGGAGCACTAGGCAAATGGCTCTTTAGCCACCCTCCAGCGCAGTTGCTTCATCTGCTGGGCTCCCTCCATGTCACTGAGAGCCCAGCCGTTCCCTGTGCTGGGCTTCCTCACTGTAAGTCTAGCGCCCGAGCTGATGCATCCTGTAGGCAGGGGAATCCGGGCTGCCCCCTGCCTGTAAACAACGGAAACACTCTGGAGGGAGCAGGAAGCAGGCTGTGCCCTGAGTGCATGGCTCTCCTGCTCCTCCAGCAGAAACAAGGGCAGCTACCTGCAGCCTGGTTGCTCTCTCCACACTACTAGCTCAGGTATGGTCCACATATTTTGTGTGTATAAAGTGTGATTGTAAACTGGTGTATATTTTATTAGGTGTGTGTTAGAGTGTATAAGTGACATTGTGTGTATGTATATTTCAGTATGTGTGTCTGTAACATTGTGTGTGTTTACTTCATTAGGTGTGTGCTAGAGTGTGTAAGTGATATTGTGTATACTTCATATATAATAAGTGTGGGTGCACGCAATATGAAAGAGGTGAATTATGGTTAAACGGACATTGAGCCAAATTCTAGGTTTTGTTTGATTTATTTTAATTACAACGTGTACAATTGGCTCTGTCATTAAGGGGTTAAAGGTGTTGCTCATATTGAGATTGATGAGAAGCATATGGGAGGTTAAAAAAAGTAAATCTAGCCCACACATATTAGATGAATATGGTGTATTTTGCACACAAAAAAAAGATTTTGTGACATAAATTGGGAGTACCTAAAAGATAGAGATCTTCATCTCTGACAATGTAATAAGCTGAAGATTTTACTGTCAAAGGTCAGACTTAATAGTTTGGAGAAATGCAAGACTATTCTTCATGAATAGAGTTTTTTAGGTCAAGAAGTACTGAATATTTAAATAGTTTAAGAAGGGGTAAGTCCACAGGTGAATGGGTAGGTATTTTGAAGTGCGTCTACTTAGTCAAGATGAAGATAAAGGTTTAGAATCTTGAACGTGTAAGAAGAGATTGGAACTCCTGAGATGTCTCCAAAGACTTTAAATCCATGGATGATGGCAAGTGTAAGATTGGTGACTATAAATAATAAATCATCTGCAAAGGTGGTTAGTTTGTGTCTGGTAATCCCCATCCTGTCCCCACCGGTGAAAGGATTGTTACAAATAGAAGAGGTAAAATGGAATTCCTCAAACCAAAGTAGTGAAAGCAAGCAAGTCTTGTTCAATTGTTAATTTTGATAAATACTAGCTTACGAGACCTTAGCTGAAGGAGAGGTATCTACAGCTTTAATCCAAGAAATTATTTGGGGTTTGAGGGCCCATGTAGTAATTTGGTCCAAAAAAAAAGCCCAGACCATACATATGTAGAGGGATAGTGTGTGTTCCCAGTACCTGCTTAGCATGATATATAAGAAAAAAGGAACATATCAACTAAATATCTGAGTGACTTCCATATTCTCTCTTCATACTTTAAAGGGACACTCTAGTCACCATGACCACTACATCTTAATGTAGTGGTTCTGAGACAAAGAGCCTGTCTGTGCAGGCCGAGCAGTTTAAACATTTTGTTTACCTAATTGTGCTTACTTAATTACATAGTACTTAATGCCACTTCTAGTGGCTGTCACTTGAACAGCCACTAGAGGGCTTTCCTAGATGCGGCCCTGCAGAATGCAAAGATTGCAGGACCGATGTTCAGCGTCTGCATGGAGATGCTGAATGCTTCCTATAGAGATGAATGCTTCCCCATATTAGGAGATGGAGATATTTGCAGTACATTAGCATCCCCATGCTTCCCTGTGATCATCAGGCAGGGCAACCATGGGGAAATGTATTAGACACTGGGGAATATAAGGTAATTAAATACCTTTTTTTTAATTTCCCTTTATTTTGTTTTATTAACACACTAGATTATGAATGCATGTTTGTATTCCTATGGCTAGAGTGTCCCTTTAAGTCTGTAAGGTCACTCAAATGGTGTTTTAGCATCAATATGGCTGTATGATTCAAACTGCATATATTATTAGATATCTCTAAATGTAAATCTCTAACAACATTGAAGTTGATCTCAGCATTGCCCATATTTCTGAATGGAGTAAGCCAAGCACAAAACAAACTGAAGAATATTTATAAGCTAATTTTAAACAAACAAACAAATAAAGTATTAAAAAAAATCTACATGTATTACGCAAGGCTTTGTTTTTATTGTAAATATGACGGCACTAAATATTGCAGACTGACAGGTATTGCAGATGGTAAAATAGTCTCAATAATTATAATCTGTTTTTCTTCAAGGCCTTGAGGCTATTATACAATGCAATCTAATGACTTTGTGGTCGTTTAAGTAATGAAAACCTATTGTCATTGCGAAAACATTGAACCTGTAAAACCCGTAACAACAGAATGGCATATTGTATTGTATGGCAAAAGGATAATCTCCGAAAAGTCATATTACAGCCTACAGGGATAGAGATTAAAAACAGTGATAGGTCTCTCCTTACAAGTAACAGTCATATGCATCTGTTCTTTAACTGGAATAATCCGGATCTTTCTGCAAAGGTTATAGAAACCCTATGAAATACAAGTTTAAAGCATTAAAAGTGAAATGTTAATATAAACAATACATACTGCTGCACCCAATTCCAATGTATATATTTTTTAATGTATAATCTTTATTGAAGATTTTTTATTTTTTTACATACGTACATTTTATTTATTTTTTTAAAAGGTAAGTGTAAAAGAATGGAGGTTGCACTGAATTTTAACTGCATTTTAACAATGGAGAAAGAGAAAATATTATTGAACGTAACATATTTTTGAGGACAATCTTTCATTTATAAAGTAGTGTCAGATCAATGTCGTAACAATGTTTCATTGTTGTTATCTTGTAGGTATGATATGTACATATTCTTTGATCATTTATCTTTCGAGTAAACCAGATCATGTGCTGACTGAGAGATAGGAAAACCTAAGATAAAGAAGAAACAAAAAGGAGAAAAAAATGTGGCTGTTTTGGGTAGTTATTGTAGTGTTCTTCCCATGGTTTTCAAATGTTCTGAAACGTCTTCATGGACCCTAGGTCCCTGTGTATCATCTCTTCAAAAGTTTTGTTGATTTGAGTGCACTAATGACTAAGGAAAATGGCAGACTCTCGACTGCTTTCCAATGTTTCGCAATATTATATTTGGCTGCTGTAAGGACAGGTAGAGACATAGATTTTTGTGCTTGTGACAGTGAGCTTGGCAGCATATCTAGAAAGTATACTTGGGGCAAGAGTGGTAAGGTAGATTTGAGCAATTTCTTCGAATGTCTTGAATATTTGACAGGTATTTCTTTAATTTCCGCAGCTCCAGAATATATGAATAGTGATGTCCCGAATGGTTCGCCGAACGGTTCGCGAACGGTTCGCCACGAATGGTTCACCGCGGACTCATCATTGAGTAAACTTTGACCCTGTACCTCACAGTCAGCAGACACATTCCAGCCAATCAGCAGCAGACCCTCCCTCCCAGACCCTCCCACCTCCTGGACAGCATCCATTCATTGTGAAGCTGCATTCTTAGTGAGCTGTCCAGGAGGTGGGAGGGTCTGGGAGGGAGGGTCTGCTGCTGATTGGCTGGAATGTGTCTGCTGACTGTGAGGTACAGGGTAAAAGTTTACTCAATGATGAGTCCGCGGCGAACCGTTCGGGACATCACTATATATGAAGCATTCAGTCCTCGTCAGCCTGGCATCTCCAACATTCACTCATTTTTGTGGCATATATGTTGTGTAGTCTTTTAGGGGGTTAAGAACCAGTGAAATAATACATTTCTACAGGTTTCCCAGTAGAAGATACACTTGGATACATTTGTCATAGTTGTGAAAGCTTTATTACAATCTTCTATCCAAAATTATTGCCGTAGTTCTTTTTCCCTTTGGCAAGTGAAGGATGGTTACTGATTGCAATTGGAATTTAACAATAGTTGGTAGCATGTGGTGAGCAATTTCATTTGCATTTTTTGTCCCAAAATAAAGTTTAAGGAAAAATGAAAGATTACTGCAGTGGGGATGTTGAGCGTTTGATTTTGGAGAGTGTCTTTAATTCAGAGATAAGTACATATTTCTCTTCACGGAAGAGAGTATTGGATTGTGTTGCCTGGGAAATAAATAATGTTAACAATTACATAACATGTAATAGCTAAACAAACATTTGCAATTGTTATTCAATTAGTATTCTTTTATTTTTCCAAAAGCAATGTATTCAGAAGTTAAGATTACAGGTGCCTAATCATATTTAATGCTTAAATAAGACAGAACTGAATGGGCTCTCTAACCACCGTTATCACTACAGATCATTGTAGTGGTCATGCTACGATAAGTTTATTGGCATTGTTGACAAAGTTTGGTTAGATGGTTTTGGAATGGTTTGGTTACATCCAATCTGGAAAACAATGATGGGGGATCAAATCCCATCAGAGCAGTTTGATGAAAATATAGGGGACTTATAACTCCCAACAAGTACAACCAGTTAGAGTGCCCGATTAAGGACTCAAAGGTCTGATTCAACAGTAATATTGGAGTGGATAATGATGCTTGAAAACAGAAGTGGAACTAGGCCCAAGATGGTGAGAGCCTGCCATCTTTTGAAAATGGGAGTTCAGTGGCATAGGAGGAGATTGAGTGGGAAGGTGAAGCACTGGGTATATTTACCTTTAAGCAGACACGTTTGACCTATGGCAGCCTGCAGCCAGGCCCCAAAGAAGATATGGGAGGCAGTGGCGTACACACAATCCATGGGGCCCTGGTGCAAAACTGACCCATGGGCCCCCCTCTCTTCTTTACCCCCCTCTCCCCTTCCCCCCCGACAGACACATACATACATACACACACACATGCATACAGCGACACATACATACAGAGACACATAGACACATACAGACAGACACATACAGACAGACACATACATACAAACACACACACATACACACACAAAGACACAAAGACACATACATACATACATACATACAAACATACAGGCACACATACATACACACATACGCACACACAGACACATACATAGAGACAGACACATACACAGACACATACATACAAAGACACATACATACATACATACGTATATACAGACAGACAGGCATACATACATACAGACACATACACACATACATACAAACAAAGACACACACATATACAAAATGTTTAAGTCACCCTCCTGTTTTCTACCTTTTAGGTGTAGGAGGGTGACTATCCCTTGGGTCCAGTGGTGGCTCAGGTTGATGGGAGTCAGAGTTCCCACTCTGACTCCCTCCTCTGCTTCCTCCCGTGCGGGCTCTGTGTGATTGCTGGGAGGAGTGACCGGGGCAGTCACTTCCTCCCAGAGTCTGATGTCATTACAGGGGGCCCGGTTGCGCTGTTAAAGCGCTGCAGCGCTGACCGGGCCCCCTGAAAATCTATCTCCACCGAGTGGCCTAACAGCATGGGACCCCTTGAACGGCGGCCCCGGCGGTTTGCCGTGCGGGCCGGGGCTGCAAAACATGGTGGCTGGTACCTGGTCGCAGGGGTCCGCAGAGCGGCCGGGCCCCGTGGAGTGACGGGCCCGGTCGCAGCTGCGACCTCTGCGACCCCTATATGTATTCCACTGATGGGAGGGTTGAAACTATGCATCCATTCACTCCATACCAGGTAGTTAGTAATAAGCTGAGAGTGTCAGCTGAGCACTCTCTGCCAATCACTGCCCCAATCCCTTGTATGAATTTTTGAGGTTTGAGGCGGAGAATAGCTCTACTATCACCATATCATAAAATGGGGGCAGGGCTGCAGGCTGAAGTGGTTATTGTGTGTACAGTGCTATTTTAACCCTAGACATGTTTAACTTTATATTTATTGCTAAACCTAACAGTTTGGTTCCTAAATGGAATGGTAATCCTAAACATCATAACTAGTGATGCTGTGGCGCACTCCCTAACCCTTTCTGTCACTGTACACATAACCTTAACTGATCTATACAGGTAAGCTATTGAAATACAGAAAAATATCTATTGAAATGAATTAATAGATACATGCTTTTTTAAATGTAATAACACCCATGCTGTAGAATGCTAAAGGAAAAACAAAATCAGAGGATTTAGGTCTTATTTGTTTACGCTGTTCTCCAAACCACATGAAATGGAAATAAAAAGCTTTTAGTTCGTGTGTTGCTCTGGCAACAGAAATACTAAAGCCACATTCCTTGTTAGG